TCCAATTGATTCTCCATTATTAAAGGGCGATACTAGGAGTTTAGACTATACTTCATACAAACCCTCAACCCTAAAACCCTAAACCCTAAACCCTAAACCCTACATAAACCCTCAACCCTACAGTCATGTCAGGGCCGTACAAGATGTTTACAAAGTAGCCATAGGTAGAGCCGAGTTATAGTTACCATTTGAGCTATGGTCTAAACTCCTAGTATCCCCCTTAATAACCCCTGTAGTAGTCCGCTATATAATTCCCTGTATAACCTCCCCTTTAAGGAGTTTAGATTATGGCTCATTTAGTTTGGTAAAGTTGTTACATTTGGAGTGAAAATGGCTGCCAGTAGCCCAGGCTTGACATCTTTGATCAGGCAAGACACCCAGACCTAGGCAATAGGAGCTATAATCTAACCTCCTTAGATGGGCTTATATAGGGGTTATATAAGGGAGTATTATCGCGGTTATTATTGGGGATACTTGGAGTTTTGATTATAGATCATATACAAACTCTTCCACCGGAATAGAGACCAGGATCTCTAAGCCGAAATCTTGAGGGTCACGGAGACTTGGCAAGTGTACTTGTACCAGAGCCCGGACATGTCATTTAATAACCCCAGTTATCCCCATTATTTACCTAATTGCTGAATCCCTTTGACTCTCCAAGTACCCGAAGGAGTTCATGAGCTGGACCCTTAAACCTTAAACTCTCGGCTTCTAAGCCTTAAGCTACCAGGAGTTCATGAACTGGACCTCCCTATCCTCTTTGGAAATGGTCCGGGACCAGGGGGGTTGCGGATCTTGCTGGGCGGTGACAGCATCCACGGTCCTGGACAGCCACGCAGAGATCTACAAATCCAAGCCGCTAATTCGTTGTTAGTAAACCCTTAAAGCGAAACCCTAAAAAGTCCCTAAATCCTAAACCCGAAGCACTAAACCCCTTAACCCTAAACCCCTTGACCGTAGGAAATGGAGGCATGGATCCATAGAGTAGACTCCAGATCTCATCTGCAATCATGAAATAGTGTCCATCTTCCATTCCTTCACTCCCTACCCCTAAACCCATAGACTCTAATCCCTAAACCCTACACCCTAAACCTAAACCCTACAGCCCTAAACCCTAAAAGCCCTAAACCCTAAACCCTAAGCCCTAAACCCTGAACCCTATCCATTTTCTGTTCCATCTCTTCACTCTGTACTGATTACCAGCCAGGCAGAGGAGCTTTTCCGCCCAGGAGCTCGTGTCCTGTGTGCCCAACCCTAAGAAGCTGGACCATGTTCGAAAGCCTTTTCTGGATATGAAGCGTAGTATACAGACTCCTTAAAAGGGGGGTTATTTAGGGCATCATATAGGGGTTACTAAGGGCTACTAGGGGCTTAGGCTTAGACTACGGTTCATATGTTTTTCTAGGTTGTAGTTAGAACAAAATAAAGCCTGGTGAGGAATGCAAGGTTTTGTGGTCAAATTATGCCCGTCATAAGTCACAAGGAACTAGAACACAGGAAATCTTGACCTCACAAAGGGGTTAAGTCTTGATGCTCTGTAATGCCGCCATCTGCTCATTGCTGAAGGTTTGTAGGGAATGGAGGAATGGTAGGCGTACTAACAGCCAGTAAGATAACCCTGAACACTCTATATCCGTGTAAGCTACCAGTTTCCATTTCAGTTTCATAGCTTCCCCATTTGAATCTCACCCTAAACCGCAAACCCCAAGCCCTCAACCCCAAACCCTAAACCCCAAGCCCTAAACCCCAAACCCTAAACTATAAACCCCAAACGCTCAACCCTAAACCCTAAACTCTAAACCCCAAACCCTAAAACCTTAAATCGGCTGAGGAAATGTGGTGGCTCTGGGGCCTGCAGCGGCGCCACGGTAGAGCTTGCCTTCCAGTACGTCATGGAACACCCCATGCAGACGGCCAGAGAGATCCCTTACGAAGCCCATGGGCCATGGTTTAGGGTTAAGGGTTTAAGGTAGGGTTTAGGAATTAGGGATTAGGGATTAGGGTTTAGGGTGTAGGGTTGAGGGATTAGGGTCTTTTTAGGCTTTAGGGTGTAGGGTTTAGGGTTTAGGGTGTAGGGTGTAGGGTTATTAGGGTTTCGGGATTAGGGTTTAGGGTGTAGGCTTCAGGGTTTAGGGATAGAAAAAGCCAAATGGAAGATTCCATGCAAACTCCTGGGGATGTACAGGGTTGGGTATAGGTACCTTAGGTGCTGTGAGATTTACTCCATCAACAGGACACCCAACGAGGAGCCATAACATCTCGCTGGATCATTCAATCTTCCTCAAAGCACCATGGTCCTCCTCATGGGAAGCCCAAAGTGACCCTGAATTTGAGGCATTCTGACCAACCATATGTCTTGAAGATGGTCCCATCCACCCCATTACTGAACGCACCCTAATCCCTAATCCCTAAATGCTAAACCCTAAACCCTACGGCCTCAACCTGAATCCCCAATCCCTATACCCTAAGCCTGAAACCTTACACCCTTAGCTCCAAACCCCATGTAACCTAAAGCCTTAAGCTCTAAACCCTAAGCCCTAAACCTCTGGAGGTAATTACAATATAACTATAGGAAGTTTAACTTCTCTATTTTCACAAGCCCAGGCCCCACTGGAACACCTCCATGTAACCTAAAGCCTTGAGCCCGAAACCCAGGCCGTGGACGGACACTGCGAGGGCGCCTCCTTACTCCAAGGCGGTAACCATGGTGACACGGACACCTTGGGGCCTTTTTTTGGGGTTCAGGCTTTAGGGTTCAGGGTGTAGGTTTAAGGGTTTGGGGTTCATTGTTCACGTTTTAGATCGAGGTTTTAGGGATCTGGGATTAGACTTTTCTATTATTCTTAATCTTGCAAGGTTTAGTTCTTTTCTTGTGGTCTGATTTCAATTTTCCGGACTTCGAGTTCAGGCCCAGGGATGAGGGTGCGGGGTGTTTAGGGTTTAGGGTTCCTAAGCCCTAAGCCTTAAGCCCTAACCCCTATACCCTAACTAGAACTTAAGCACTCAACCCTAAACCCTAAACCCATTTGGGTGTAGAAGGGGGCCTGTCCGGCCTGGGTTTACTGGATCTAGGCCTTGCATGTCCTACTTGGAGGGTCAGAGGGATTTAGTAAGTAACAACAGGGAGAACTGGGATTCTCATAGGAGCTATAGTCTAAATTCCTCAAAGGAAGTCATACAGGGGATTATAGAAAGGGACTAGTATAAGGGGTTATTAAGGTGGATACTAGGAGTTTAGGCTACAGCTCATATGGCTTGTAGAGGTTTCAGTATACTTAGTCCCCATAACCCTCTAAGCAAACCCTAAGCCCGAAACCGATCAGGACTTGGACGTGGCAGCAGTGGGATTTCACGCCGCCGCCGCGGATGCTCCAGGACTCAAAGCGGACTTTCACAAATTTACGTTTTGGGCTGTGGGCCAGCGTCTACTGGGGAACTTATATCTGATTATTTTTATAACCCCTATAAGCCAGCTGGTAGCACCAGCTATGCCAGTCATTAACCTGCATGCTAAGTCTCCCTGACCCTCCAAGGCCCCTTGAAGTCTCCGTTTTTTGACCTCTTGAGTTCTCCAAGCCCTAAACCCTAAACCCTTAAGCCAAGGCCCCTTGAAGTCTCCGTTGACCCCCTGAGCTCTGCGTGAAGGACTGAAGTTCATGACTGGTTGGGAGCGGCTGCCAGAGAAGCTTGGTCTCCGTTACTATTCTTCTCCCCGCAAGGTTTAGGGTTTAAGGTTTAGGGCTCCCCCTAATTGTGCCATACGCCCCCCCAATGACTATTTACCTTAATGTATGGTGATACTATATTGGGGGAGTTCATTACTGGGGGTTATAATAATACTAATAACTACTGGGGGAGGGCATTAATGAAACATACTCACCAACTTAGTACATTTTTTGAACATAGAATTTCGTGGTATTGTGTGTGGGATGGTCCATAAATTTGGGGATGTGAGGGTTTCTGTTATTGAGGGAGGAATTGATACTGATCATTTCAGTTCTTCCTGCTGCAATGAAAGCTTTCCTACTCTATAAGCTCCGAACTTATGATTCTGCAGCAGTCTCAAACTCCATTTTCAGACGTGAGTATTGGAAAAACATGCACCTTCTCCCAGCAGTACTGTGGCGAATTATCAGCAATCTTCTCCCCTCACAACCGTTGGATAGTTCTAGTTGTAGTCTACATCACTATCTCTGGATATCCCCTATATACGGCCAGCTTTCGTTTCATTTTCCATGTCCGTCTCGTACATGAATCTCCATTATTCTGAACATGTAACTTTTGCCCCTAAGCCCTAAGCTCTCAATAAACATGCAGCTTCCACTCTTATAGTATACCCTAGACCATACCGCAAGATCCTATTTACGCCCCTGCTGTTTTCTAGGAACGGCTACTCGGCGCTGCTGCGCGCAATAGGCGAGCGCGGTCCAGTTGCGGTCTCTGTGGATGCCACTGCCTGGAGCTCTTACATGTATCTTCATGGGATTATGTAAGGGTTTAGGGTGCAGGGTTTAGGGGGTGTAGGTCTTACATGTATCTTCATGGGATTATGTAGGGGGTATATAGTCCCCCTTAAGTAGATAGAATTGGGGTACATGGGGATCTTATGAAAATATGCCCAGAGCCATATTCTATTTACTTAAGGGGGATTAGGTTGGGGGGTATAGGTAGAAAGTTTTTTCAGGAGACAATGATGCGGGTTGTAGGTCGTACGCATCTCGAGGGGTGTATAAGTCGTATGTATTCCGAAGAGGTTATATGAGCTATAGGCTAAACTCCTAGTATCCTCCTTAATGATCCATAGAACCCCCTCTTAACAGCCTTAAAAGGCGTTTAGGCTACAGCTCATACGTGGCTTATGGTTAGTATGTATGTTTATACCCTAAACCCCAAACCCTAAACCCAAAATCCGAAAACCACAAACCCTAAAAACGGCTTAGAGTCGTTAGCAGCAGAGGTATGGCATCTTTGACTCTTGCGAGACTGGGTTGCTATTTAGGAACTTAAGTTACCATAATGGGTATACTATAGGGGTTTAGGGTTTAGGGGTCTAGGGGTTTAGGATTTAGGGTTTACGGGGTTGTATAGGGATGATGGAAATAAAATGGAAACGACTATTTGGGGTTTAGGGTTAAGGGCTTCAGGAACTTAAGTTAAGCTACCATAATGGGTATATAGTAAGTAATATGGTTTCCCAGTATAGTAACCCTCAACCCTCCTCAACAGAAAGTTTAAATTAAGTCACTATAATGGGTATATGTAGTAATTACTATGGTTCCCCCACCAATACAGTAACTCTAAGCCCTAGACCCTAAACCCTAAACCCTAAACCCTAAACCCTCCTTAACCGCAACCCAGGAAAAGGATGCTGTAATCAACCACGCTGTGACGCTCGTGGGCTACGGCGTCGAGAAGGGTCAGATGTATTGGACCATCCAGAATTCCTGGGGTCCTAACTGGGGTGACTTGCTCATGGTTTTAGGGTTTTTGTAGGGTGCCCCCCCCCCCCTCAGTAACAGCTTCTGCCATACACAATCTGGATATGTCTGACAATACATTGGCAGGTGCGGTGCCAACAGGTTCTTTTGGTGCGTTTGTGCATTCCTTTCTTTGTGTTTCTCATTCTCTCTGCGCTGAGCTTTTCCCATCCATCCATCCATCCATCCATCCATCCATTCTTAGAAGCGAAATAGGAGGATTGTAGATGTTAGAAGAGTGACTGTGGGGCCTGTAGGCGGCCGCATCAGGCCACGTGCAAGTGCAGATGTGATTTGGAATCAGCCACAGTATCAACGTGATGACTCACAAAAAGTACTCTCCTCGTACTGCTCCAACCGTGACAATTATTTGCTTCTGAAAGAGGGACATGAGGAGCATTTTTGCTGAATGACGCATCGCATCAGGGATCTCTAATGTGACCTTACACAGCATGTTTGTTTCGCCTGCACCTATGGAGATTTGACTTTACGCTCGATGATGGGAGTTAAGCACCCTCCAGGCCAGCCCCTACAACACCTTCTCCCATTTCCAACTAATTAAGCTCTCAACCCCAAATCCCAAACAATGAAGTCATTTCCATTTTCTTTTCCGTCTCCCCCATCCTGCCGCAAATCCGACATAAGGTGAGGATGGCAAGATCAGGCTTCTCAGACGGGATGATGACGAGAGCTACTGCGGCATTGATCACCAGCCCGAGGAAGGTACAGGATGCGAAGGTGGCCCCAAGCAGGTCGGGTTTTCGCGAACTATATATATATATATGCCACATATATCGCGTTTAGGGTTTATGACCCCAATATAACCCCAATGTACTTTGGTAGTTTCCATTTTCTTTTCCATTATCCCTACATAACCCCAATAGAACCCCAGTATATAGGGGTTATTTGAGGGTATAAAGGGCTCATTGGGACCTGCATAACGAGTATGTCAGGCTTAGTTTAGGTCCCCGCATGGTAGCTCTCCTCCCGAAATGTCCTTAGATGGGGCCTTCTACTGAAAAATCGCCCCTTGGGGGTCCTCATAACTGAGAGTATAATGGCCGGGATATGGGGGGGTGGTATGTACAACTATGTTCATTCTATTTAAGGGAAAGAAATATCAAGGCTAATTTTCGTACAATGAGCTAATGAGGGTGTCCATTACTCCAATACAGACCCTGATTTAGAATATTCAACTTGATGTAGCTCTTATCGTTGAAAACCCCCCTGATGCTTGAATACCCTGGATGTTCAGGTGAAAGTCTGCGGCATGTGTGGCATCCTCTATGACAACGTTGTGCCACATTTTCGAAATCCTGAGCCTTCTCAGGCTTGAGTGTTCCATGCATTTGTGTGCTCTACTTTTGCACCCAGTCAGCAATCAGCTGTGACGGACTGGCATGAAATTGACATTTGAACGCAAAAGGCGCTGTGCATGAGCTGCTGCTGGTAGATAGACGTACCAATCAAAACATGTGGGACAGTTTCTACATAGCCTGCTCACTATTGTTACTAGCCTTAAATTGAGAAAGAAACCATGAGACTTCCTGGTACTAATCCTCACATACCTTCCTCAGAGCTGATCTAGAACTGCTGTTTCCAAAGCCCCAAGTAGCCCAAGTATTCAGCAACTTGGTACCTAGACCCTTTAAGCTTAAACCCTGAGCCCTAAACCCTCAAAGCCCTAAACCCTAAACCCTTTCAACTCTAAAACCTAAACCCTTCAGGTCTCACTTGTTCTGATTGACCTGCTTTGGACTCCGAGGTTGAAGGAGACGTCCAAAGAGGTGCATAGGGCCTCAGTCCTTGCGTAGATGCCGGAGCTCCTAAGGAGAAACCCTAAACCCTAAACCCTAAACCACATAGGGTTGAGGGTTTAGGGGTT